CATGGCGTGCTCTCAGCGTTTGATAGGACGAGCCGGCGAATACCGGCTGGTTCTATCAAAGCTGTGCCTCTTTCGCTGTTTGATTGGCCCTTCGGCTCATAACATCGGCCGCGCTCGGATCGAAGCTGAAAAGAAGTATAGGTCGACAAACACTTTACCATCGGTGTATATCAATGGGCTAGGGCATATCAAGAAGAAAGAGTGAGTGAAGCATACGCCACTTCCGTAGATGGAATTGAAGCTGCTTATCTTAGCGTGCAATAGTCGCCCCTGATGAAAAACCCAAATTGGTTTGGAAACGTCGGGCTCCTAACTCTTTAGGACTCTGCAGGTAAAGGTCCGTCTTTCTCTCATTTTGTAACTATGCATATTTTGACGAGCTTCGGGATATGATGCTTCATTGAGACGAAACGACGGTACGGCACCAATCAACCTCTAAAACGGGACTGTCCCGGCAGTGATGGAAGCGTCATTGGACCTTTTGTAGCGGGTTTCGTAGCAGGCAAAAAATTGGTTTGGAACAGCCACTGATGATATTGGAGCAGACGCAAACGCCTGTAAGCAAGTCCCATGAAAATCTGATTGCATCGCTAAATGAGTTCGCATAGATCTGGTAATGATTAAGGGTTTTTACTTGATACCGAAAAATATTACTTATTATGTTCTGTAGAAAAAATAGATGTACAAGAATCACAGAGCCTTCCTTTTAGAAATAAGGGTGAGGTGAGGGCAAGTTCAATTTAGAATCGGTTTAAAAAAAAAAAAGAAACTGGTGAAAAATGAGCTAGAGCAACACTTTAGTTAAGGTAAAGCCTCTCTCTCTCCTCCCCACTTTTATACTCAGTAGTTAATTTAGCCTGTAAATTCCCATAAAATGTCGGAAAAAATCAGCATATCCGCTGAAAAGTTTGCAGATGAAAATACATCCCCGCAAGTTTTATGAACACCGAAATCGGGATTCTAGTACAATAAACTGCAAAAACAACCACCCACTCAAAAATATCATTAAATTTACATTTGTGCTTTAAAGGTGGCCGACGCTATGGCGGCGCTCGAACCAGCGTTAAGTCGAAGCTCGCTGCCCTTTCGATTGACTGCTGCACAGGAATTACCTTGACTACCGTATTTCTCCAAATAGAGACCCGCGTTTCGTTTCTTTTCTAGGCACATTCTTTTAAAATTAGAGGTCAATCTACAGTCAAGGCCAAAGAAGGTCGACCTGTAATAGTGCTCCGCCAAGACATCTACAAGTTACTCAAAAAGAGTAATTACGTTACGTTACTGAATATTGGCCGCAAAATTAATTTAAGTTGAGTAGAAATTACTCAAATGGGAAGTAATTGAGTAAATTACTAACTACCGCAAAAAGTAGCGAATTACTTTAGAAGTTACTTTTTACTTTTTTATGGTAACAAGCAAGTACATGGGTTTTCATCCGTAAGCGATAATCTGCTAGCCAAATTTGACGTTGCCTGTGCTTTCACAGAACTGCGTTAATAGTTGATTCTCTGCTGCGTACCTAATTGTTCTGTATTTTTTGTACTTTGGTCAATGATGTACTGCGGATGTATAATTTCTACCTCGAGGTGTAGCACGGCCCGAGCTTGACTTTGCGTTGGTGTTTGTTTCTTTACAGTGTTGCGTAAAGCATATCTAAGAAGTACTTGAAGTAAGAAGCAAATTAGATGTTATGTAATTCAACTAAAGTAGGGATGACAATCGGGGTTTTATGGCGCAAGAAAAACTTAACCCATATCGTGCCAAAGTCAAGTAAAGTAGTAAGTACACCAGGTGCGATGTACTTAAAATAAAGCACTATAAATGCAATGTATTTTCAATGTAAAGTACTATTTAGCACAGTCTTTCATGATGCCCTTTCTTCCCCTAAATTTTTTTTAACTTTATGCATTTTTCCAGGGGTAATCAGAGATGCATTAGTTTTTTTTTTGGAAATGGTGGCCAATATTGGATAAATTCAAGTTGCCACAGACTAGTTGTTGTACTCTCGCTGACGAACTAAACACAGTAAATGTATAAGGCACTTCTTCGTATCGATTTTATAGTCGCCATTACTTCACTCAGAGAAGCGTCCAGATGGTACTTTCCGCGGCAAATACTATACAAATACTTTTGTAAAGTACAAGTACATGCTCAGAGAATCTACTTTAATTAAAGTGCAAGTTTTTTATACATATTGAAGCAGTACTTTAAGTACCATGTACTTAAACTACTTACCAACACTGTTTAATATTTGTTATGCAAAACGTTGAGGGAATTTCTAGGTGTTTTTGAGCGAACTTCGGATCATTGAAGACTTCCATATTCTGAGATTTGGGAGAAAAGGCAGCGCGTAGAGGTCACCTCTGCCTTGCCCTTTAGCACACCGATCTTCAAGTACAGCACAAACTACGGGAGCAACAGCCGATGCTGCAATTCGTTGCCTCCTATAAGTGAGGATGCAGCGTGTACACCTCAAGTAATAGGTGAGACTTCCTGTGATGGGAAGAAGCGGGCACAAGCCTTTTCTTCAAATACGTCGTCTCATTGAGCTTCGGAAAAAAAGAAACACCAGTCTTCGGCGCCAATCCCGCAGTTACGTGGCCTCACCTGCGACGTGTCTGTCCGCTCCCCGCGCCACGAAGCAGGGTTGTTGCAGTAGGGGGCTTGTGAAAAGTTTAGGGCGTTTTAGACCCTCCAAACCACTAGCACCCCCCGCCCCTCCCCTGCCTAAGCCCCATGCTCCCTTCCCCCTTGGTAAACATCAGCTGATCTTCCAACATCTTGTCTCTTTTTCTGCAGGAATGTTTGTTGACCAACGAAACTATTACTAAAATTCAACAGTAATTTGTAATTTGAGTAGAAGCTACTCGAAAAAAGTAATTGAAGTAAACTATTAATTACCGAAAGAAAAATGTAACAGAAAGTTACTAGACTACTCACAAAAGTAAAACTAGAGTAACTTGAGTAGAATAGTTGAACTACGTTCAAGTCTGACTGACCGTTATTTCCAAGCCAATCGCCTTAACTCATGCGTTCCCCCATGTGAACCGCTGCTTGACTCCGTGAAGGTTGGAACGAGAGGCGAAAGTGCCACGGCAACCTATAGCCACGCCATGGAGGGGAAAATAATCAAGTGATTTCAGCAGGAGTGAAAGACACTGGGTCCGTCTTATTACAGTACCCGCCATCCCACTGTTTTGTCATTTCTCTCCCGACTGTTAGCCGCTGACATCGACGACATCTGCGAATTCAGACGATGACGGGCCAGCGCAGTTGAGAGCAATCTCTATACATGGTTTTATCTTAAGTCAAAGCGCAGGCGACGCCACGAGTCAATAGGGCCAATCAGGCAGCGTTAAAAGCGCGACATCAAGGCCCTTGTAAGTTATCGGTGCGGGCCATTTTATTGGCCCGCACCAATCAAAAAGGCTGCGAAGGTCCCTAGATTTCAGCTTCTAGAGTATGTTCGTGAGCCTTCGACTGTGTTCTGCCATAATGACGAAACACTATATGGTGGGTAAAGACGCTGCGAATACATATTTGTATCATCTTCGTTTCCTTCAACTTTTCTGAATGCTATTAGGATCGAACACTAATAAAATATTTTTGTTTTTTGCTGCGTTCAACTTCACCTCACCGCAGGCATGGCGCAATTCTTAGTAGAAAATAGCGCTTCGGCGCAAGATGTAGCACAAGCTTTCGTTGATGGCGCAATTTGCAGCAAAATGGCGCATGCAGCGCTTCCATCACTGCTGCCCCGGTCAAAACGGGACGGTCGGTCTTGGTTGGTTGCACGTGGTTTTAGGAAACCGGGGATTTTGAAGATGGCGCGGATACCACGAAAGTTTCGCAGACGCGATTTTTGGACGATGATTTGTAGATTGTTTTAATTGATGCGCCAGATTGGTTTAAATGATGCGCCAATCTCACTAAGCGATCCACAGATGCGTGACGCCGCCATAACTTTGGTTTGTAGGCAAGGAGGTTATAATGGGCAGGAGGGGGCGTCCCTATCCCCAATGCATGGAGCGAAGTGTAACGGAAGTAGGCGTGGCCACGAGCCGAAACGAGCATTTCTTGACCAATGGGAGTCTAGTGAGTAAGCGCCGCCATTAATTTCCGTGCAAACAACCGCGTTGCGATGACATTTCCGTGGCGACGCGACTGTGTGCACCGAAAGTAATGGCGGCACCCACTGTTATTTGAAACAGCGCTGAACGGGAGACTTTTAAACCAATATGGTCGGAATTGGATGAGATTATTATAAACGAACGCCTGGTTGCCCAGCAGAAAGTAAGTGACTAGAATTGAGACGCTCTAGACGACGCACCGTGAAGGACTTGGCGGTGCGCAACGCATTTTTTAATAAACAGCAGCAGCAGATCGCACGAGCGCGCATGCAAAGCCAGGAGCGCACAGAACAACGGGCTCGCGCTTCCAGTTCTGACTCGGCTCGCAAATAATGTGGAACTAAGTATAAACACTCACGCTGCCAAGCATCGTGGACGCCCACGGCGGACGCCGACCGCATCGAAAGCTAGCCTCGTGAAGCACACGCCGGAGCAGAAAGCAGACGAACCGCCGGTGCGCTACCCCACGGCCTCGGAACGGGTGCGCAAGGCAGTCTGGGATTAAACGCCTCTTCCAGCTTCACTCAGGCCGACGTCATGCCGGGTCCTGTCTGTTTAAACGTCCTTGTTTGTAGGAGACAGGCGGCAGTGCACGAGACGGCTCGTGCCATCTCATGCTCTGCGCGCGCAGATCTCCAGTGAGCTTGTCCCACGTGCAGAAAGATCGAAGTTTCCTCGATGCATTGAGGCAGCGAAGTCGTAAGGAAACTGGTTGGTGAGATCGGTCTAATACAACACGGTCTTTGAGATGCGTTTGGTGTCGTGACACCGCGCACTCCTAAGCAGACTGAAGCAAGTTCGGTAGTGATATGAAATATTGCTATTCAAATTCTTTACGCCATCAAAAACATCTTATTCTTTCATTTTCAGACATCCAGGTAACATCTGGGACATCGAGTGGCCAAACTTTCAAGCGGACGAAAGCAAGGCTCTCCACATCTTCAACCGCAAAGCGACCGCGGTGAACATCGATGTCGGACCACGTTGCAATGTTCTGCAAGAGCTTGGTTTAATATAAATAACAATAATACAAAACTTCATATAATATTCATAGACAGCCCAGCGGCAGGGTGTAAGAATTGCTAATTTTCTTGTATATAATTTTTTGCGTTGAAAATGTCGAAGGAAGGAGTTTGAATTGATGTCAGAGACGACATCGCTGGATAATTAGAATGCGAATGCAATTATAAGCTGTGTTTGCGTCTTAAATGGCTTAAGACATTAAAATTAAACAGGTATATTATTTTGGAAATAGAATGCTCGCACGCTACTTACTATATGCACCAAGTTCCGCGATTTTTAGAGTTATACTAATTGCAACATTCAATTTACGAATGTTAATAATTTTCGTCTGGCGACCAGGCAACACCGTTCTAGTCACACCATGGCGCCCATAAACCCCTTGATCATCATATTCAGTTGAACCCTATCAGTCTAGGAACGCTACGCTCGCCCAAGCTCGCCTCGCCAAGGTACGACCGAACATACTCACGCTACTCGGGTACTCCACGTAAACTCTTGCTCTCGTACCCTTGTTCTTTGACCATTTAAACTGCATGCCCGTGCGGGACGCGTATTTCCAAAACCTGGCCATTCCAGATCTGCCGCGGAGCGGCGTGCTCTGATTGGCCAGATTACCGCCGCACAAAATATTGACGGCGACGCACATACGGCGCCGGTCGCCGGCAGGAGCGTCTGCTACACTCCGGCGGATACTTTGGTGCCGTGGTCCGTGGTGACTTAGTGGACGCCTTGTTTCATCTGCCGGTGCATATCCATTGAGTTATTCCGCATATCACGCGTCTAAAAGTCGGTAGCAGAAGTTTCGAGCATGCCGATGTCCACAGTTCGACTGCTCCAACCTCGGCGATTCTCTACCCAAGCTCGAATGAAGTAGGCCTCGCTGCTCTGTTCCGTAATTGAAACCGTGTACACGTGGAGTGCTTGCAGTGCTAATGCGCAGCAGTGCTTTTCAACCGTAATTCAAGAAGCGAGAACGATAGCCCTGCACAGCGTGTGGGGCTGGTGTCAACAGTTTCCATGTGGCTCTTATCAAAGTAAGCCTTGTCGCCTTCCTACGCGCCCGCGTAGCGCCCGCAATGCTGTCAATCGTACTGCTCAATTCGCTGTTTTTCTTGCTCTGAAACGCTATGCAGATTTTATATCCACTTCAATGCTTCACAGCTGAATGAACACTTGTTTGCCGCTGAACAAGATTGCCATGAACGGATTTACTTCCACGGTTTTACGCCCCACAAGTGTTTACTTTTTCTGCCGTATTTTCACGTTTTATTGCACAGACTGCTTTGATTTGTACCAGTTTTAGGCTATTTGGCGCATACCAAGTTTTGTGAAATTAAAAGGACGCGAATTGGTTTCAAGCTGTTTTTTTCTTACTCCCATCATGATTTCACGTCGTGCAATTTTGATCAGCACTGGAGGTGAGCTTGGACTGCTCCAATACGTCTTTTAAACCCCAAGGAGCAGAGAATAAAAACCCATACAGAACTCGGTTCCAATAGATAGGGGCCTTTTCCTGACGCCTTTTTGTTCACTGTTCCCTTCTCTGCACTTGATAGATAGGTATGTCACCTGCTCTTTCAGCCTGTGGAGGTCCATGGGAATTAGAACGGAAGCATTAAAGTCATCTTCAGAATTACTTGTGCATTAAATCCTGTTACCCACGGGACATTCTTGTGTGAATCCAAAGTCCATGCTATTGAGAGCTTCTCCATGCTAGTGATAGACTCCAGCTACAATCTAGTTTCGTCATCTTTATTCCGATCCCATCAATTTCCAGCTGCTGATGTCATCACTGTGTAATGCTGAAGTTCTAAAGGTCCCATAAATTACAGGCAGATCCAGACAATCCAGGACACTGAGCACAACGAATGCAATGCTGCTGGTTCTCACGACCAGCGACTTATACGCACAGACCTCTAACATACCCCAGGCCGAGTTCCTTATAACCGCATCCCACTAGAGCAACAGCGACAGACGAGAATGAGCGACATACAACACCGACAAACAGCCCATTTGTCCGAATCCGCTGTCCCACCTGGCGGACACGACGCAGAAAAAGGGGACAAGGAAACTTGTATCCTAGTGGGACTGGAGTTGTCAACAAAACACTTCAAAATACAGAGACAAACAGAGTATCGCGACGCGGGTTTCGCGTTTCTCTATTTGGCCGTAAAACGCACCGACAAACACGGTGAAAGTGGAGACGATTACTTTATTTCTTGTTTAAAGCTTCTGCTTGTCTTCATTTGCAATTGGCGACTTTCTGAAAACAGTCGTAACAATCGACACCCAACTCCTTCCAAACCAGAATTTCTGAATCGTTCCTCTTTTGGGTCGTTCGAAGCATTCCAGATGGGCACCACAGAATTTCACGTCGATTTGAGTACGTTTTTAATTTCATATCCGAATGACCGAGGGCCGGCGTTTTATGGGGGACAATACGGGGGTGGTTTTATGGGGGACAATCACAGAACGGATGACAAGTCTCGTTTTGCCGGAATGGCTTGCCGCAGAACTGGTGGAACGTCGTGTCCTGCTTCGGGGTGAGCGGTCTTACTTTGGTCAGTCCTCGCACATGGGTGTATCCATCCTGATGCAGGGGCGTAGACTTCGGCATCTTGAAGCACCAGCTCGCGCACCAAGTTTTCGCGAGCAAAACCAGCCACAGCAAATTCCCTTTTGCAACTTGACATCTATAGCAAGCAAGCCATGCCCGCGACCACTACGAGCAATCCAGGAATCGGAACTGCGGGAGCGGGAACGATCAGTGGCCGCCAAGGACTGAGTCACGAGAGGAATGGGAGGAAGGGTAGGAGGAGGGTGGGGAAGACAGCAACAGAAGGCACAAGCGGTCGAGAAAATTAAGTTTGTCCCCGAGTGATGTTCCTCGGAGGGCCTGCTTGCTGCGCTTCAAGTTCAACGAAAGACAAGAACTTGTCCGTCGTCGATGGTTTGTCGGCGTTTGTCGCGGGTGTTGGTCATTACAGTGGAACAGCATCACCAACACAAAACTTTGTGGTGTTGCAGGACAAAAATCAGTATTTGTCGCTGTAGTGCCGGGGTGGCCAGGCTGACCCGGCCTAAGAGCCACAAACAAAACTACGAAACTTTCAAGAGCCGCGGGGGGGACTTTTGTCTACAGCAATTAACGAAGCTCGAACTACTTTCAATCTATCCGAGTCAAAAGCAGTACAACCTTACGTAAGGTAGCAGTAGCGCAAGACTATCAAACTGTAACCTGTCTTTCGACTTAAAACGCGTTCTTTTTTTTTTTTAGAACTGCTCGTGTGATCGGGAGGGAGGCGGGCGAACGGGAGGAGGAGGAGGGGGGGGGGAGGGAACCGCGAGCTGCACTTTAACACGCGAAGTCGCGAGCCGCAACTTGGCCACCCCTGCTCTAATGGGACGACGCTATAAGAATTTTCTACTCAAAGTATGCAAATCTACGCTATATATCCCTAAGGAGGCCTTTCCCAGAATTAGTAACACCTTCCCAGATTGACAATCATGGATGAACCCCTGGTCTCAATCCTGGCAGTGGTGGGCACTGCAGATGCCTGTTCTGCTGCGACTCACTACCAAGTCAGTCGCGGGAGATTCAAGGAACTCCAAGTTGGGACGTTGCGACCAAAGCAACATTTTCCCCCCTCTGCTTGGTCCCTTTGCTTGAACTTCTGGAACGGGCCACACCGGGATCAAGACAATCTGCACCAGTATATGTCAGCTACTATGACCCATCTTTTAACACCTTCATCTCAACCGCCATTCTCCAGCAGTTCTTTTAGGCACAGTTTTCAGAAGGTAATCAAAAGAGCATGCACAAGCTACGTCAGAGGTCCAGGTGCAGTTCAAGGTCTTGCATACGAGAAATATTTCTCGACAGTCACCACATATGTTGATGAACACCAGTGTTGCAGGCAATCATCTGCCAAGAAGCCACACTTGATCATGCAGACGCTTGCTTCCCAGAGGTTGATTGCGCAGAACCGGATTGCGCAGCTTGATCCTGCCCATGAACCAGGTTTTTGGCACGTTCCCTCTGTGTAGCATTGCAGATGCTTGAAGTAGACTGTAGACTGCCTGCCTGATGGGGAAACAAAGACCAAGCAGTCAATTCAAGCCACTCTTGAACCAATGTGCAGAAAAGAAAGTTCAAACATGGAGATATGAAACGTGCTGTAGTCAAGACAGATTGTAGGTCGCTATGCTTGTTCTGGGTGCGTCTTGATCAATCCATTAAGTGGGAGTCGGAGACTCGCCCTTCTAAAGGGCCCCTGAAAAAAAAAGGTGTATTTTTTAACAATCTATAGTCGGTGACAGGTCAAGAACGAAGTGGAAGCTCGTCCCACCTCTTTCCACTTTAGCAGTGCGAACTCTGGAGAGGAGGCGACCTCCTCTCCACCGTTTACTCCGCTGAAGTGGAAAGGGGTGGGAGGAGCTTCCACTTCGTTCTTGACCTGTCACCGACTATAGTTGGGACACGTGTGTGAAAAAAACTTTTACGCGAGGAAAAATGTTTTTTAGAGCAATATTGACGGCGCAAGACCCGATTTAGTCGGCAGTCACGTCCCTTACGGCTTGTTTTCTCTCTCGGCATTTCAGGCGCATGGAGCAGAGGTCGATCGCCTTCGCCTTCACGACCAAGATGTCATTTTGGAATGACCCGTGACGGTCATGGACTTCGCGCACAATTTCAATTAAATCTCTCGCAAGCAATATTGCTCTAAAAAACATTTATTTTTTTTGTAAACTTTTTTTTTTTTTAGCACGTGTTCCACTAGACTGTTTAAAAAAACTTTTTTTGCTCTTCAGGGTCCTTTAAGTTAGCCACAAAGTTACTTCCCAACCAGCAAGTTATCCCTTGAAGTCCTGCTGCATGCTACCTTAGGAAGAAAGTTGAAGATGGGAAATTTGCATCAGAATGTGCAAGAATGCCTTCCAAGGCGAAAAGCATTGACGTGCATGCTCCGCCAAAGCTACATTTCCCCGAATTGTCATGAATTTATGCCTACATTGCACCATAAGGAAGTTTTCGTTTATAACTACTGAAACTAATAGTTCAGGCGTCGCAGTACTGCCCGATTGTTCCTGTAACATTGTGCAAATCGTTCAGAACTTCCGGTTATTGCTTAGAGTAATGTGCGATTTGATTTGATTTACACACCGAACACGACTCAGTACTCGGATGTTTCGTGATATCTCTCATTGTACGTGGTATGTTCGGGCAGTCTAATTATTTCCATTGAGCGCGCTTCTCACACCATGCACTGGTGCACTGCCGAGAAGCTACACCCGTGGAGTAGGCATTGCAATTCTGCATATGTCGCTTTGCCGCAGCGCAGCCATGTCTTAAAGGGGCACTAAAGTGCTTTTCGAGATCCTCGTATTATTGTTATAACTCAATCTACAAGCACTAACCATCCTAAAAAAAAAATTACATTCATCTGCGGTTGATTTGCATACTAAAACAATTGATCGAAATTCTCGAGACTTAGCGTCAGCGCAGAATGACAGATGGCGCTACCGAACCTTGGTGAATATGGTCAAACAACGGACGGCACGTGTCGGCCACTCGCGCGCAATTGAGTCCACCGTGGACGAGGTGCCGACCAGTCATGCTCGTCCACATGGGAACCCATCGCTCGCGAGTGGCTGACATGCGCTGCCCGTCGTTCGACCATATTCAGCAAGGTTCGGTAGCGCCATCTGTCATTGTGCGACAATGGTAGGTGTCTGGAACCACCACTTTCTTAAGATACGAATCGGCGGCGGATGAATGTAACTTCTGGTTTTTTAGGATGATCAGTGCTCGTACATTGAAGTATGACCATAGAACGAGACTCTCAAAACACGCCTTAGTGCCCCATTAAAGGAATATTGAACCGAAATTTGGATTTCGCAAAATAAGGACGCATGAGAGTTGAACAAGACGCTGGGAACTCCAAAACATGGCTCGTACATCAGTATCTCCAACGGATGGCCGCACTTTTGGAAAAAAAAAAGGGCGCAATCAAGCGAGGTCTTTGACGTCATTCTCCTCCGGCAGAATTTCAGAATGAGGGGAAGCGACATCGCTTCTCTCCTCCTTGCTTCGGTTCACTAGCTCGAAGGGACGTAGCGAGAAGGAAAGGGAATGGGAATCGTGACGTGACTTGTCTTGTCGACCGTGTTCACTCGCACACTTCTTTTCCAAAAATACAAAGATCCGATTCGTTAGAGGCATCGCTGTATGAGTGTTGTTTTGAGGTTTTGCAGTGTCCCGCCTATCCGTCCAGCCTTGTTTTGTGAGCTCGAAATTTCTGTTCACTATCCCTTTAAGGGTAAAGCACAATTGCAGGGAGAAAAGGTGGACAACAAAGCATGAATTAGAAAAATAAATATATATGTGAAAGGAACGGGAACTTGGTGAATGCTGATGTAATATTTACCTTACACTAAACTTTGCTAAATAAAACTCCAGTTAGTCTATATCAGGGGTGGCCAAACTGCGGCTCGTGAGCCGCATGCGGCTCATCACGGGTCCAAGTGTGGCTCGCTGGTTTTGGGTAAGGATGCTGCCCTACCCATCCTGTGTTCCAAAGC